GGCATTCCGGATGTAAGGCTTTCAGACGCTCTCAGGGAAGCACAGAACTGGGCAAAGCTTTCAGGTGTCAAGAGCGACCTAAAGGGCTAAGAGTCGCCTCCCGCTTTACGTCGTTGCGTTTCTTTGTTTTTAGATCTTTATCCACAAAACCCGCAAACCCTCAGTCTACTTCCACAAACCTCTTGTTCGGTGCTTGGGAGGCAGGCAGCAATGGCCTCCAACCTAAAAGCGATGGCCTCCAAACTGAAAGTGATGGCCTCTAACCTAGACGCGATACTAGTTCCCTAGTGGACTCCTTGTGTGCAAAACTCCAGAGGAGGACTGTTGCTGCTTCATGACATCTTGCCCCTACAAGGTGTGCTGCAGCAAGAACGACAACAGCCTTGAGAGATATCACTCTGGACGTCACGAAATGAACCGAAACCAACATGCCACACGAGGCTTTGGCTCCAGGACTTTGGCTGCTCGTGTCAAGCGGTCACCGCTCTCACCCACGCTGATGTTCAACACGAGCTTTTCAACTCGGATCTGGCGCATGGGGTTCCTGCAGCGAGGAACCGAATTCTCAAGACAAATTGACTGCGACTTGAGGGGCGAAAAGATCGAAAGGAAGGTAGGGGGAGGCGTGCGTAGTGGGAGACAGCAGGCTCAGTCTTGCTACATCTTTGGGAGCCCGGTCTTGTTTGACAAGTAAGCGTTGGTGTTGTTAAGTTTTCTTGGATGACGACTGCTTTATATCCAGAACCGTTCTTTTTTTTTCTGGCACTGGAGGTAGGCATCATGCGGGATGAAGCTCGCCAACAAAAAGCTGATTAGGGGAATTTGACCCTGGGAAGCCGAAAAAGGAGTAAAGAATCATGCTCACAGTATTCACCTCGAAGTGCGTCCTATTCCAAGACTTTCTTGCTAAAGCACAGTGAACTCGGGTAGCTGAAGCTGTCTTTCGTGACCTGCCTTTCCTACCATCTCACTTCTTAATCGCCACATCGCTCCTCCTGAAAAGCTGCAGCTAGTTGACCACTAGTTTACTTCGCATACTGTATCGGTTATAATGGGTCATATCATGTCATATCATAATTTCACAGGCTCTCTAGCGGTGCCTATCAAACTATGGGAGTCTGAAAATCGACGATTGTCTTTTTCACCTTCATGACTGGCAGACCAGTGATCTGGTGGACCCAAGCACCCACGGGTTTTTGAGGGAAGTCATCGAAAGGTCAAAATGAACTGCAAAGGGCTGCCCAGGCACTCGGATTTGTCAGCCATGGCCACTCGCGTCCAAGAGGCTATGGGTTTCTTCCTCTGCGTCTCCCTTTGAGCCAAATGTCAAGGCCAACAAACCGTCATGGCATCAACCAATTGCTGCAGACAGCAACTTGCAGCACTGAATCAGGACAACCGGCATCGAGTGGTCGTTTTGCTATACTATTTAAGTGTTGAGAACTACACTGCCACCCTGCTAAACCATGTGCGCCGTCTTTGGCAAAATGGCTCTTTCGAAGGATAAAGGCTGATAAAGGTTTCGGTCAGTCTCAACCATTCCTTCTGCAAAGCCTTCGATTTGCAGTGCCTTTGCGAGGCCTGTGCCGTTGCAGCCAGGCTGCACATCCAGAAAGCGGCCTTCTTTCACAGTGTAGAGTGATGACACCGCCTCCACATACTCCACCTGGTCGGCTTAGCTTTTTCGTTCGTTGCATCATGTTTAATCCAGTTCAGCCTCAGCTTTCTCCGGCATGGAACATTATGGAATCATGTTACACTGAACCGCTCAAGGGGCGCCTGGCGTGGCAGCCAACCAGAACGCTTCAGCAGCTCAACCGCCTCCAGACTTGAGAGGAATTTGAGAAACCGACCCGCCCTCTTGTGATTTGGCTCCCCTCCTCCCGGCCCATCCCTACTTAATAAGAGAGTAAGCTAGTAGCTACTTACATAATCTACTACATATGGACGCGGGATAGCTCACGCTTCTAATCATTTGGTTCCTAGAATGTTAGGGAAACTAGTGGCGATGGCCTCCAACCTACTAGCGATGGCCTCGACCCTAGCGATGGAAACATGAATCGCCATGCTCCGTTCGTAGCGATGCCCTTTGCTCCGTTCGTAGCGTCCTTGTTACTACTAGTAAGGCCAGGAGCCCCTAGTAGCGTCCTCGCTCCTAGTAGTAAGGCACTTGTTTCTACTACTAGCAAACATTGTTACTACTAGTAAGGCACTTGTTACTAGTAGCGATGCACTTGTTCCGGCCTCGGCCGGCACATCGCTCGTATGCAGCAAAACCAGGTCATTCTGAGTCTGCGTCCTGCCAAACGCACCCGCGTCGCGCGTTTGTTTCACGCACCTTCCGCTTTTTCCCAGTCCTCCGTAAGGAGTAAGAGAGAACCATTGCCCCAAGAACATGCTCAGGATTTGTTCCCCAGAGGCAGACCACATAGGCGAACCTGTCAAATCAGGCCAATATCCCATTCCAGTCACCAGTCAGTACAACAAAGCTCGTGAAACCCTGGCCTGCTGCGTGCTGGATCCTCGCAACCAAGGCATTTGCTGCTGCATACTGAAGAAAGTGCCCACCCTCTCTCTCTCTCTCTCTCACTCAGCACTCCTGTTTTGGCTTCTTTGCAACAGGCTGTGGGGGGGATGTCAAAGTCAATGTCAACGGACGTTTGCAGCAGGAGCAGAAGCCAGCCCAGGTAGCCTCCAAGAAGCGCACATGCAAATCAAATCGCATGATGTCTACGTTGTCTACGCTAAGTAAGGTGCTAAAGACAACGTAGTTTAAACCAAATATGAAATAGAACTAATATGAAAAAATTAAGGAACCTACTAGCCATGGCCTTCAACCTAATGGCCATGGCCTTCAACCTACTAGCGATGGCCTCCAACCTACTAGCGATGGCCTTCAACCTGCCGATGGCACTACCCTCAAGAGCTTCTCAAAATGCTGCTCGGAACTTTGAATTCAGAGCGACTCTTTCAACTTATGGCAAAGTGGACAAGAATGCATGGCGGAGACTGACAAAAGATTTGTTGGGCATCGCAGGGTTTCACTATGTTTCACTGACACGTTTGGCCTCGTCTTCGATCTCGTCAAGCTGGTCTGCCCGCTGACGTTCCCAGGACGGGCCTGCAAGGTGCGAGGCCGCACTAAGCCGTCAAGACTGCTTTTCTATGTAGGTAAAACTCTGTTTCGATGACCACTCCTGGCTCTGCCCATTGCACTGAGGTGTGGCATGGAGATGTGATCCGCAGGCATGGACGCTTTCTACCAACCAGCTGCCCTTGGTGCACACGAAGCACTGCTTGACATCACTTCGTTTTGTGGAAAAGACCTACGAGAAGGGCGAAAAGGGGCAAGGGGGCACGAAACAAGTTCCCTTCGGGGAAAGCATACATCACACTATCATCTAAATATCTAAATCAAACACCTTTAGGCTGTCGCTACTAGGTTGGAGGCCATCGGCCCCGCTAGTAGGTCTTTTGCTTGTTTTTCTTAGACTTGCCGCAAGGCTGTCGAACGGAGTGGGGCTGAGCGGAGCAAGAAGAACGCGAAGGCCTATGCCGATCCAGGGACGGTAGATTTGCCAGGCTCCACGCCACAAAGCAATCAGCCCACAGGCATCAAGGTTATCAGCTTTCATGGCGCAAGCCGCCAAGATTCTTTGGAAAACCGTGCTGAGAAAGCCTTCAAGAAAAGTTGTTTGGAGAATTAAGACCAAGAAGGACAAAATTGTGAAGAATCAATTACTCAAGGAGAGCTCAGAAACATGCAATAGTGCCGAGAAGTACCTTTGTTGCTGATGGCAATGGGTACCCGGTAGGTATATGGCAGCAAGGAAAATATACCTAAACTGGTCTATATAATAGAAAGAATGGAAAGAAAGCGGAGAAGAGGCTCCCCTTCGCCAAATCTCCTACAAGTGCGATCTCTCCTGATGCCGTGCGATGATGTTCTTGACACTCGTTCAACTTAAGTTTAGATACATGCTCTTTTGGCCTGTGCTTTTTGGTCATGCAGGAAGAAGCGTGTGCAGAATCTATGGCCAAAAGCTGCAGATCAACCTGATTTCAGGCCTCAACTTCGAGCAAGTCTCGTCCAACTACAAGTCTTATGACAAGACTTGTTCCTAGTAGTAAGGCCAGGAGCCCCTAGTAGCGTCCTTGTTCCTACTTGTCCTAACGACAGTGGCCCCGGCCACTGGCCCCTGCCTGCCACGGACTGCGCGTTGAGACCTTAGCAAGCTGCGCACATTGGAGGTGGCTAGGACTGAAAGCAAGTGAAGTGAAGAGGTATGCGCTCGGTTCTTTTTCACGATGGTGCATTGTGGCCCAAAAGTATGAGGTAGTTGCTAGAGGTATGTTGCAAAACCGAGCTATCGGCACATTGTATCTGGGTTGCAAAAGCACATGAGAAGTATGATCGGGCATTCTAAAAGCCTAAAATGTTGAGAGCGCAAGTTGACAACGTGTGCAACGTCTGTAGCCCAACAGCGTGCAGGGAGATGCGCACTGCACCCCCGAAGTTTGCGCTGTGCCTCCAGTTGTGGAATTTACAGCCCAAGCGCTCGTCATGCCTCAGAGCCACGAGGGAGGGTATCTAAGGCCGTAGTAGTAGCAGGAGCAGCAGCAGTAGCAGGAGTAGTAGTAGTAGTCGTCGTCGTCGTTGTCGTCGTCGTTGTCGTAGCAGCAGTAGTAGCAGTTTTCTTGGTATTTGTTTCTTGGTATCATAGCAAAATTGTGCTCCTTCATGCCATTGCCAAGACATTGGGCAGTGAGGGCATGTTATGGCGTGTTGCTGCGGCATCGTACAAGTGACAGTGGGAATGTTGGCAAACCTGCTCCCTGAAGGCCATCGCCGCTATTAGCTTTGATCCAAGACCGGCTTTGACGTGAAGCCTTGCACAATCTCGCCTTCCTTCCAGACTGACTGAGTGCCTGGCTTGCCAGATTCACCGGGCCATCAAAGGAGAATCGCCCTCCAAGTCAATGAAAGACTAACTTGGAAGCATACAGGTTCATGACGTAGATGAGTTGGTTCATATCAATTCCTTCCAGTGGCCTGAGTTTATGCAAAGCTTGCCGATGGCCGCCGAACAGTTTTGTGCATGTTTGGGCCAAGCCTGCACCGAAATGCACATGTTGGTACGCACACAAATTTTGAAGCCGCTGCAGACCAGGCACAAAAAAAACACTCTAAAGGAGAGGACTGGGTTTTGCTGTTCTGCGTCCAAAAGATTTGGATCCAGAAATTGAACTTGGAAGGCACTTCAGTGGTTTTTTCTCACTTTCACTGCTGGCCACCTTTTGCGGCCAATTCTGTTCTTCCCGCTCTCTTGCATTGCAAGCTCACTGTTGTTTGCATTCTTCCACTTCCGATTGAGGGGCGGCTGGAAGATGTCTTTCATTTAGAAATCTGTCGAGCCGGCCAACTGGCTTGCCAAATTCATCCTGTAAGGCAACCAGGCGGTTGCAAATCAAGGTGAGGTATCGGCTGATGCGATCAGGATCTAGTTTGAACACATCGTAAAATCGATTGCATTGATCTGGCTTCTCATTGCCAGTGACGGCAGACCAGGTGATATCTTTGCCTGATTGCCACGATTTAGGCCCCCAGCCATACAAATCTGGGCGGGAAGACACATCAAAAATATCGCCGTAGCAGGACAGTAGCATGCGATCATTGCTACAAGAGTACTTTGCCAATTCCTGTAGCGAAATTGTGCCAACGGGCCTCTGGTGATCTTTGGGCAGCCTAGCTGCTTTCGGTTTTTCTTCGTCTCGAAACCTTCCCGAAGTGTCTCGGACCATCTTCCGGCTGATTTTCATGAATTTCTCCTTCAGCTCTTTCCTCTGGTCATCACTGGGGTTCTGTGGCTCTGGTTCTTCAGGATACGGAACCTCTTCTTCAACTTTCGTGTCCACCTCTTCATCAGAATCCTCGATATGGTCAAACCTAGAATAATCCGATCCATAGCGCTTGGGATCATGCTTCTTAGGCACTAAGGTCACTTTTGGAGCAGCCACCTCCGGCGCAGCACGTCTTTGGCAAATTTGACCCATGGCCACCCGGGACGCCCAAACAGGCCCAAACAGCTCAAACGGTTTCAAAGCTCAGTTTTGTTCATGCTAAGAATCGGATGTGATATGCGAGCATGCAGCTTCCTGGAGCCACAGCAAACAACGTACAACACAAACCCATCCTAAAAAATGTCTAAGAACGATGGCCTCCAACCTAACGATAGCCTCCAGTGACATCCTGTCCAGTCCTAGACTCACGAGACCTCTCTCATTCTCAACGGAAGAACTTGAGCATGCAGCATATGGTCAATGGTTACCATCAACGTCGTCCGGTTGAGATTTTTGGCACCTCTGCTTTGGAACGTGCCGCGTCGGATCTCAAAGGGGCTTCTGTTACACCCTTACTCGAAGGCTCTGTGGCTCGAAACTCAGCAGTGCCACATCGGGCCTAACTGTGCCGTCCGCACTCATAAAGTTGGAAGCTCACAGCTCTCACTTTCAAGAAGTGGACCTGGACAACGCAAGGCACAAATCAATCAATGAAAAATAACTTTGAACCTTGACAAGTCTTCGTGAACAAGAACAAACCGTCGACTTGAGACATTCCCTTGTCCTTCAGTTTTTCAGTGTCTACCGTTCCCAGTTGGATTCTTTTCTGTCTCCACTTCTCCGCTTTCCTCTTTTCTCGGTGTCACCACTTCCAGCAGATCGCCTTCTGCTACTTCGGCTACTTCGGCTTGTACTTCGGCTTGGGCACGACGTCTGCGACGAAGCTCCTTCAACTGGGCTCGCTTCGCCTGGCACTCACTTTCTCGTGTGCAAATGAAATAGTGTGGCCAAATCCATATGGCAGTTGGCTTTTTATGCATTGCATAAGTGTCGAAACATGCGAAAACAAATCTTGCCAACTTTGACCTAATTACTGCTGGGTCGCAATTGTTTGAAAGTGTAAAGGGATTCCTTGTCCGGAGGACTTTTGTTGGGTTGTTCACTTCTGCCCTGCAGTTCCCACAGTAGCATTGACATACGGTGTGGCCACTCCTCCACAAGCTCTTGGAGAGATGCGAGGCGTTCCTTCGCCTTGCTATTCAGCAGGAACATCGGAAATGCAGCTCAAAACGCTCAAACGGGGGACATAGGATTCCTTTCCCCTCTCTCTTCTATTCTTTCTGTGGTGTTTTCTTCTGTAAGCCTTGTATAGAACCGTCCATTTTCCGTTCCATCTGTGGCACAAAAAGTCTCCAGAATCATTAGGTGCTAAACACATTTTGAATGCATGCTGCATGCACCATAAAATTGTTGGATGTGAAACGTGATCCATGAAATTCTATCCACGCGCACTCTCATGAGTCCACTGGTTCCGAGAGCGACCACCGCTGCTAATAGGCTCGAGGTGGGTAGGACAAGGGAGTCTTGTGTGCGAAAAGGTTGGCACGAGCTGCCGGGAGCGCGGCAGCTCAATAGATCAGGGCACTAGTAGCGTCCTTGCTCCTAGTAGCGATGCCAGGAGCCCCTAGTAGCGTCCTTGTTCCTAGTAGTAAGGCCAGGAGCATCCATTTGTTTTGGTGACAGGGTCACTTCATCCTCCTTTTGACTAATAGAAATTCCGCTCATCCTTTGCATCTGTGCTACAATTTGTTTGTATGATCATATCTCTAGCGTTACACTTGGTAGTGCTTTTAAGTTAGATATCCTGTGAAGAGGAGTGGTGTTTTCATGTGAGAGCTAAATGTCGAGCCATTGACAGAGTGACCTGCAAAAGCCACCCAGACACAAAACACTATATATGATATTATTGTATATATTATTGTATATAATAATGTAATAATATATGTGTTTTCCGTGTGCTCCCTCTCCCTGCCACTCCGCCCAACTTAGGCTGTGGCGGCCAAGTCCTGGAATAGACTCCATTGGGAAGATGGTGGACCACAGGAACGTGTCAAAAACATGTGAACGTGTTCAAGCTATTAGGATGGAGGCCATCGCTATTAGGTTGGAGGCCATCGCAGTTAGAAGTGTTCAAACTTCTGAACTGAACTCGTTAAATCGGCACAAGCTCCAGTTCTCTCCAGCGTCCATCCTCCTGAATGCTGCGATCCAGCGCCCGAACCTCCTGATTGGAAGATCTGTGAGGTTTTGCTTTTAGGCTGTACAAAAGACATGTCGGGCCTTCACGTGTGCGAAGTGCTGACGAAAGTCCGCCGCCTGGAGAAAAGAAACATGAAGCCAAAGCATTGTCAGTCTGGTCTGCCATGTCGGAAATGCTTTGTTTTCGCACTCAGAAATCCGTGAAGCTCTTTCAGCCAGCCTGGTTCTCCAGCCGGTCAGCAAAGGATTGGAACTGCTCCAAACGCTGCTCAGCCTGCCAAACTAACAATGGGAGAGGAACAGTGAAGTCGATCAAAGGGTAGGCTGCTGAGTTGCAAGGTAAGAAGAGAGAAGTCGCGTACGGCAAACTTAACCTTTGCACCGATGTCTTCGGACAGTGGCACAACACGCATGGCTGTTGCCATGCAAGACCCACTTGCTCCTGGCCTGATTTGAGCGCTTCTCTTTCTCTGCGGCTGACCTTTGAGAGATCAAGAAACTTGAGTTTGAGGATGCTCTAGGTGAGAGAGAAGGGACAAATGACAAAAAAGCAAAAGGCAGGAACGGTCCCATGAAAAAGAATTTTCTCGAAAAGTCTCTTTGAATGCATCGTGCAGAAATAGCTGAGGCGGTGGCAGTGCCTGGATGTGGTCGTCATAGCGGAGCCGCTCCTCCATGCGTCTAACGCCCCAAAATGGCTCAGAAAATCACCAACCTGTCGGTTTGCTTGGATCGGGCAGGTTCAGAATCTGGATTGTGTTGACGTCTGCTATTCTTTGCTTGGGTGATTGGGTGAGGGTGGCAGGCCAAATGGTAGCAATGGTCTTGTGGCAGTCTTGTGGGCTCAACAAACTTTGCTCCTAGGTAGCGTCCTTGCTCCTAGTAACTTCCCTTCAAAGAACCTGGGAGAATGGCTCTCTCGAATTTCTCTCCTCTTGCAGGCGGTCTTTCAACATACCACCACCATGTCGAACCAAGGACGTCTGAAGTTCCTGGCACCACGCTCAAGACAGAGAAACGATTTCTGAAGGAAAATTGTTGGGAGCAAACATCCCTTTCCTGAGGCGATCTGGTAGCGTCCTTGCTCCTAGTAGCGATGCCCTTGTTTCTAGTAGCGTTCTTGCTCCTAGTAGTAAGGCCAGGAGCCCCTAGTAGCGTTCTTGCTCCTAGTAGTAAGGCCAGGAGCCTCTAGTAGCGTCCTTGCTCCTAGTAGCGATGCCCTTTATTCCGAGTGTTTTATCCGTTCCTGTGCCATCGGCCTCCTGCAGTCGATCTTGCGCCATCAACCGCTGCTGCAAACCCTGGAACTCATTGGCCAGGCGAAGGAACCCCGCGCGGGCCACCTGAGAAACGAGTGGCTGCGGGCCAATCAAACGACAACTCCCTTGAAGCCATCGGATGCATTTTTTAGATAATTGAGGGATGTCAAAGCTAAATGAGCGCCAACCGGAACTTTGATGGTGCGGCCTCAACTTCTCTACAGGTGGCAGAATTGCGGCTCCTTCCTACAGTAGTAGAAGCTAGCCAAGTTGCGAGTTGCTGCAAACGCTGAACAAGTGTGAAAGACAAATGCAAACTGTTCAAATTAATTACTATGTTTAAAAATATTATATATATACTGTGTATATAAGAAATGTGTTAACACTTTTTTGTTAACACCCCAGCTTCGGCCGTGCACCTTGAGGCCCGCAAAGGCCGCTTCACTGCCCACAGGAATCGAGTCCAAGAGCTTCAACAAGTCCTGCACCTCGAGGCGCCCGTCCCCACACCGAAAACACAAAACACTTGAGTCAACATGGAAACTTATATGGGACAAACAGCGAATGAAAAAGAAATGAAAGAATCGCAATAAAGGTTTCAAAGCCCCAAAAACCAAAGGAACAACAACCGGCCTTGGGCGATAGATCCACTTGCGGAGCTTTCGGAGTTCTCTTGCGTGTTTCCCTCATGGACGGAAATTGAGGGAAACGACGTTTCGCGATGGAAAGGTGTCGCGTCAAGCTGAGGCAAAGAAAAACAACGCAAAGAACTACCTTCATGCAAAACGCAGAGAACCCCTATTAGGTTGGAGGCCATCGCTCAAACTTCAACGTTTGCACTGTGCTCGAAGTCTCGCCTTGGAGTCCATGGGACCGTCGGAGTCTGTGCTCCGCGTGTGCTCCGTTGGGGCGGTGTCGGGGTGGAGCGCGCCGAGCGCGGCGGATGGGGCGAGGCCACCGTGGCCGTGCGCCTTGGAGTGTTTGGCGAGCTCCTGGTGCGCTGTGAAGGTGGTGAATGAAAGGCATTTGAACAGTCTTAGTGTCTTGGTAGTACCGAAAGGTACTGATGGGTACGGATGTCTAGGACTTCTAGCCATGGAAAATATAGCTGGTAACCAGTCCACAGGGGCTGGGCCGGCCTCAACAGGATCTGCTGCAGCTCAATGGACTGCTGCCGCTGCAGCTCCTCCAGCCGTTGAACTCTCAAGGATGGCACCGCCGGAGCCATCGAAGAAACCACCCGGGCAGCACCGCGCACAGGCAGTGCGGCAGCACCGGTTGAGCGATGGCCTCCCAACCTACTCAAGCCCCTAGTAGCGTCCTTACTCCAAGTCAAGCACGGCTTGGAAACTGCTTAGCCCTGCTCTATCTCCTTACCTGATCTCTCTGAATCTTCCTGCAGTGAAGCTCGTCCAGTAAGGGGGGCACCAGAAATATAGAACCATTTGGAACAGGTGAGGGGATTAGCCCTGTTGACATGCTTGCACTTGGTTCTCAACAGTGTCCAATCCTTGATCTGAGATCAGCAAATGCAGTTTACGAAAGCACTAGACCTTAAGGCCGTAAGGCTTAGGCCCTAGGCAACTCGAACTAGCAGAAATGAAAACGCTCAAGAACATGTGTTCGGTTTTCAGCCGGGGCCTGCACCTGTCAAAGGTTACTAGTAGCTTCTTGTTACTAGTAGTAAGGCCAGGAGCTACTAGTAGCGTCCTTGCTCCTAGTAGCGATGCCCTTTGTTACTAGTAATGGTTTGTGGGGCACATTGAATGTCAGCCTCCCCGGCTTCCATTTCCTTTTTCACCTGCCCCATGCGCGTGAGGCGGCAGCAGCTCGTGCTTGTGCTTGCCGCGC